AGCTTTAACGCTATAATGTGTCGCTCAGAAAGGTGATAAATGACTCCTGCCTCAGTTCTCAAAAGCCCTGCTAGCGTCAGCTGTAAAGCAAAAATAGAAAAAAATAAAAAATAAAACCAAAGAATTCTTTACAGCTAGTAGCTTTAAGCTAAATTTTTCTAAAGTACTGTTCTGAAGGAAGAAAGTAGTATGTAGTCACGAATAAATTCTAAGGTTTTTTGGCGTAGGATGTTCTACCCCAAACCAGGTTAGGTTTTTCGCAACCAAAGAGCAGCAAATTGCATTGAATTGGAGCAAATTAATGCGCAAGCTTTTCAAAGTTATAAAATGTTTTAAAAACATTTCATTGCGCAAGCACGATACGCTTGAGCTACCTTGGTCACAGCGCTGTTTGGCAGCTCGTTCACGGTAGGRATTACATTAATTTACGTTCAGGAAATACACTTTTTCTCTTTAAACGAGTAATTGATTAGGTTCAAACATCAAGTCTGGTATCGAATATGTGTTGGAAGCGCTGTTCAAGTTAAATTTCTGCTTAAATATGATTAAAAGTCATACAAGGCGAATAGTAAGGGAGGGCTACAAATAACGTCAAATTCAAAGGGACATAAATTCAAGATGGCGTCGTCGTGACAGGTGTTGCATGACAGCAAAAGATTGTGTGACATAAAAGCTGCTTGAGCGTGCCAAGGAGTCTCAAATAAAAACAAACCATTTTTTATTGTAGAAAATCAAAAGAATGGATAACAGAAGTAACAAACATAAAAGAAATAAAACGATTTATAAATAGATAATAATTTTGAAATAATGGATAACATAGCCTTGATATAATTTCATCTGCTTGGATTGTCTGTGAAGATCTGAAGCGGTTTTCTGTAAAAAGAAAAACGAGGCTTATGGGAGGACCTCTTGACTAAATGTAAGTGTTTTCCATAAGCCTCATAAATGTTGCTTGTTATGGAACTAAATGTAACTCGCCCTTATCGAGTCCCTGAAAACACAGGAAAACAAAAAGGAGGAAGACCCACATTGGGCGGTTTTCTTGCCAGTGCTTTTGAAAAATGATTCATTGGCAAAAATACAATGGCAACGACGACGTAATCAAATACGGGAGGCCTTTATTCGTCCTTTTATACTCAAATCTCTAGGAGTATAAAAAAACGATTAAATAATCTCAACACTCTCGTTCGAACACAGATRAAAAAAAGACAGAAAGGGAGACAGACCTAATCATCCACAGAGTCAAACGTCGACGGTTCCAACGTGGTGGACGGAGAAGACGAAAACGCTTTAAACATCAACGTGGTGGTGTTTTACTTCCTCTTGCTCTTCCTGCTATCATTGCCGGAGCGAAGGCCGTCAGTCTTGACGCTCTGACCGCGGGAGCCCCTTATGGAGTCAAAAAAGGATAAACGTAAACATTGATGAATGGTTCGTCCTCCTCGAGTAGTCATCGTTTCTATATAACTTTATCCCATTGCTGTCTCATTCTCTTTCTTCAAGATAACGAACACAGATAAACAATCACGTTGGGAAGAACATATGACAAATGAAGCAACGTGTTCCTGCAATAAACCTCTTCTTAGACTTAAAACTAAACATGGCGGATCCTGGCTCAAATGTGCCATGAAACCTGATTTYAAAGCATTCAATGAAGCCAAAAGAAATGCCAATACACACGACGAAAAAGAACACACTATCGATACCTTTGATTTTGGATGCAATTTTAGCATGTCCGAAGAATGTGCTTACATGAAGATGAATAATAAATATAGAGAAATAAAGGAAGGCACGATATCTCTTCGCCGTCTTGTATAACAAATAAATGAACTGGTAGCCTGCTGTACTCTTTGACTGTCACCAACCCAAAAGTTTTTTTGCGATTTTTTTTTTCTTTTTACAGCGTAACAGCGTAGTCCTAAGATCTCTGAAGAATTAATTCACCCAAGTGAACTAGTCTCGCTCTTTAGGATGATAAAAGATTTTATAAAATATATGACATAAACTTATTGCGACTGTTCCTTTTTAGGGCTCTTAGCGTGATTATTTGTATAAACGTGAAAGTTATAAAATAACAATACAAAGGTTTAGACAAGAAATGCTCCAGAAGTACAGTAATGTTTATACGCAGTTTGTTTAATCAACCATGAATAATTTTAAACTTCTTCCCAAGCTTTCGACCTAAGCGGTCATCTTCAGGGAACACAAAGACGTTACAAAAACAAAAACAAAAACGCATTCCTGAAGTTTAAAATTTACTCATGGTTGATTAAACAAACTGCGTATAAATATGAAAAATACAACCAACAAAGTTCTTTTAATACAGTAATGTTATTCAAAAGTTTCGACCGCTAGCATATATTTATAGGCGGGTGCTTTATGTGTGCATGGTATTTTGCGCTCTTTTCTTGGTATAAAAGATGGAATACTTTGAAATTATGTTACAAACCCTGATTGGTGTACAACATCACACCATATATTCTTTATTCGTGATCAAAACGTAACAATCATTTCCTCACTATACAGTTGTTTTAAATATTTCAAAAGTGCTTTGTAAGCATCTTTCACGCAATGAGGGCATTCAAGGTCGAATGATTAGTCAAATGAATAGGATTCATGTTTTGAAGTCCTATGTATTCACCCCATGTATTATTTACGCTCTGATCGCGATCGAGATTTAACAATTACTTCTCATTCAATGGCCCTTATTGCTTAATTGAAAGATGCTTTTATTATTTCATAAAAAGTTCTCCTGACTCTTCGACGATAATTCCAGAATAGAGGCATGAAAAAARTCATTAGTTGTCACTGTTTAAAGAAAAAAACATTTACATTTTACAACGTCATCATTTTCTGCCAGGTGGGGCTTCAAAGTTTATGCTACAATTATCTTGTCAAAATGCACTAGATTTCTATTTTAAGAAACTATGAATTGGCACAAACATYACGTCACATAGACTTCAACCACTATACGCCGGAGCGATTGCCATGTATAACAATTTAACGCTTAGCTAATATATAAGTATGAATATATAAGTTTGAATTTTCTTTCAATAAATGAAATTTTTCAATTTTAGATCCATATATTATTATGGTAATTTTTGAACTCGATGACCTTAAAAGGCCTTGTACTGTTGTAAAGTTTGTTAGAATTTTAGATCCATATTATTATGATAATTTGTCTTGAACTCGATGCCGATTGGTTCTTCACATTGATGTCGTGTAAGCCAATCAGGGGGCGACACCTTCTATGTTGTGAAAGCAAGTGGTGTGTGAAGTTCATTGGCAAAACTTCGGGATTTTTACAGTTTAAATTCCTTACTGGAATAACGCGATTTTTAACAGCGTTCACAACTTGTTTATCAAAATTTAAAACTTTGTACTCAACAATATTTGACTGTAGTCATGGATAGAGTACGTTCCGTTTATAATTTTAAGATAGTTTGCTTCAAAAGCTATAACCAACAGGATTCGCTCTTTTTAATTTTGTGAATATCACAATTGTAAAGACTTTTTGGAGGAAAGAAATGTTTGAATACGCTTTTGTAACTTGAAAGAGCGCAATTTTTTTGCAGTCTCATTTGGTGAGAAACGAGCGAATATTATTTCAAATCACCCATGATGAGGTCATAAGTTTTGCAGATCGCGCAATAAACTTTCATAAGAGTTTATACTAACTGTTATTGTAAATCACTATATCATGCCAAACTTTGGTTTAAAGGTATCTGAAAGCAACATCGATGCCTCAAAAGGGAATAAACAACCCGTGGAAGGTTGCAGCAATGTAAGTTTTACAAATCTTCATTTAGTAGTTACAACATCGTTTTATGGAACTTTAAAATATATTCTGCATTTAATGTTCGTCTGCATTTTGTTTTTGCCATACTTGATACTTATTCAGAAATGCTATTTTTAAGAAATTTAGGATGGGAATACTTTTACTTAGTTTGAATCTGATGACACATTTATATTTGTATACCCAAAACAGCCTCGCTTCTCCAAATGTTTTTCGTGTTT